GTGTGCATTTGCCAGCTCAGACCTGGTGGGCAGGTAAATCGCTGCGGCTCACGGGGCTTTTCCGGAGCACGTGGGGCAGCTCTGGCTCAGCTCTGCTGCTCGACGCGACTGCTCAGGCGGGACGTGTTGCAAGACAACATTGCTGTGGGAATCTCCATTTTTGCATCATCTACCCAGTTTTAAAACGGTGCTAAGATGAACCATAAACTTAGATGGGGAGGGTCACACCCCTCGGGACCCTCGGCTTTCCCGACGGCTCATTTTAGGGTTTTTGGAGGGGAAGCACAGGGGGTCACATCACTTTGAGGGGTCTGCGGAGGCTGCCCCATGCCAAGGCCGAGCACGGTGCCTACCTGCCTGGGCTGCCATCATGAGGGCCGTGTTCCCGTCCTTGTCCTGCTGGTTGACGTTTATGTAGGGGCACTTCTGCAGCAGGGACACGATGTCCACGAAGCCCTTGTAGCAGGCGACCATGAGCCCGTTCTGGAGAGGGGCCAGCACTCAGCACCGGGGCTGGCACTGCACCATCCTCCCCACCACGGTGCTCCTCATGGTCCCCCTCACTTCTCCCCCCCACCCCAAACCAGACAGGCTCAGGATGGGAGGACAGACGAGGTTCTGCTCCAAGGATTGGATCAATCCCAGGAGACCCATCCCTTGTCAAAGCCATCCCACCCAGGACTCTCCCTCCTCCTCCATCTGCTTTAGCAACCACCATCCTTCAGGATTTGCCTATTCCCGGGAAATCCTCTTTCTGCTCCGCAGGGTGCCCACCCAGCCACTCACCCTCCCGTTGATGTCCAGCTCCGTGGCCTCACTCCGGGTCACCCCGTGCTCCAGCCTCTCCTGCACCAGCTTGGCATCGTTCCTGGTGCAGCACTGGTAGAGGCTGAGGTCCCCGGCACCACCAGCCCCCAGAGAGAGCTCGTAGCAAGGATAGATGGAGTCATCGGAGAAGATGCTGCTGGTGTCCGAGGGCTCCGACTCACCCTCCTCCTCCTCCTCTTCGTAGTGCAGCTCTGGGTCAGAGGCATCTGAGCTGGAAGCAGGGGCTGCAGCATGTTCTCCTCCACCGCAGGCATCTGTCATCCGGCCCGGCTGGGGGGAGCGAGCCCAGCTTGGCCCCAAGCCCTGCCTGGGGCCAGGAGCCTCTCCCAGGAGGACGCGGGGGCACTCC